AAGCAATGCAAACGTTTCTTTGCTAACAGATGTCATATTATAAATCTTACTTAACCATCATGAGCAATTTGAATCCGAGTAGTTCTTCAATTAAAACGTCTTCTAGAATGCAGTGCCAGGGCGGCAGTCTCCATGCTGTCCTTTGTTTCCTTCTTTAGCCTTTTGGGCGATGATCTTAATCTCGAGTACCTAAGGAGTAGGACTTCGAAGGTACTGGAGAAGGTAGCTCATATATCAGGGATACTTTTGGGTAGCCTGGTCTGCAGTTATAGTCTGGAAGACCCTTCACCTAAAAGATATTTTTGAGTTAGGCTGTATTGTATAAATGAGGTTCTCAAACAAGCAACCTGGTAGCCTTGAGGATGTAGGATGGGCAAAAATAAGAACTGCTAAAATAGAGTTTCAGATATTATAGAAACCTCTCATTCTCTAAATCAGGGGTTCTTAAACTTTTTTCTGTCATGGACCCCCTTGGCAGTTTATCGAACCCTATGGATTATTCAGAATAATGTTTTTAAATGCATAAAATGCACAGTTACAATGGAAACCAATTATATTGAAATACAGTTATTAAAATATTTTTTAATATTTTATGCCTGGAAATCACAGACTGCAGTTTAAGAGCCTCTGCTTTAAGTGTAGGTATTATTTGGATTCCTAGGGCATCAACCAAGTTGTTTCCTCCTCCCCTCCCTGCCACCTCTCTACTGCTTGAAGTCTGACTTGTAACTCATTGTCTTACAGTAGCAGATAACAGAATTTGAAAGCTGTATCAGGCAAACTAAACATCTCATTGTATAGGGAAGCAAGTTGAAGCCCAGAAAAATCATGTGATTTGGCCAAGGTCTCATGGGCAGTAAGCAGCAGAGCCAGCATTTGAATCTGTATCTTCTGACTACAAATCCCATAAACTTTCTAAACCCTGCTACTTTCCAGGCTTCTCTTTCCTAGTCCATGGTGCTTTTCATTATACCATTTGGTCCCAAATATTTCCTTTCTGCCTATGCAATTAAAAGGAAAAGAATAGGAAAAACATGGAAAACACCTTATGTAGAACCAAGCAGTTTCAGAATATGGATGCAACTCAAAGGGTGGGGTGTTTATTATTGTTCTTGTTTTGAAGTGTACCTGTGTAAATTTCTGTGTATGTGTGTTGGGAAGGTAGATGGAAAAGTTGGTAATGCATGCTTTCCTTACTCATTTAGAAAGGGAGAGTAGAAATTCTTCAGTTCTAATACTTTAGAAGTAGGGTATTTTCCTTTTACTTAGGAACAACGTTGTAACCAACTAACCAACCGTATAAGTACATAAGAAATCTTTCAATGGTGTACTCAAACACTTAAGCAAAAAATATGATGGTAAATATGAAGGTAAGAGAGCTCTAGATCTATGGAGTGCCATAGTTTAATCTTAGCTTTGCCAAAGACTTGATTAGCTACATTAGGGTGAGGTATTTAATCTCACTAATAAGGGTGATGTAAATACTAATCATCTACCTAGGTTTCTTCTGGGGAAAAAAAAACAAATACAAGTAATTATAAATAAAAATTTAAATGTGATTTTAATTATTTTTAGTCATGCATGGATGGGCTGGTCATACATGGTGTTAAAGTAATGACTCCTTTTTAATTGACATACTTAAGCTCATACTTGTGATCAAATCCCCTTTAGAGTAGTACCCTTCATGGGCTATTCATTTATTCCAAGTATGCTGTCATTCCTTAAAATCAATAAGCATTTACTAAGTACCTACTATTGGGCAGGTGATGTGCTAAATACAAGGGAGACAAAGATAGGCCAAAAAAAACAGTCCCTGCTGTCAAGGAATTCATATCTAATGGGAGAAACAATGTGCAAACAGCTACTACAAACAAGAGATAAAATAATCAGAGAAAAGGCATTAACATTAAGGAGGACCAGGAAAGGTAAGAATTTAGTTAAGACTTGAAGAAAGCCAGGGAAGCCAGAAGACTTACGGAGGGAGAGAATTCTAGGCAAAAGGGACAGCAAATGATAATTCACAGAGTTAGGAGATGGAGTGTCGTGTCTACGAAACAGCAAGGAGGCCATTGTCATTGGATCACAGAGAAAGGTATAAGATAACTAAAAGGTAGAAAAAGGCCAGGATATGAATAGCTTCCAAAACCAAACTGGATTTTATATTTGATCCTAGAAATAATAAGATAATAAATAAACATTAAGTTTATTGATAGGTAGAGAAGAAGAGAAGGGTGACATAGTTAGACATACTTTAAGATCAGTTTAGCAGCTGAATAAAGGACACAGTGGACACCGGAGAGACTTAAAGGAGAGAGACCAACAAGAAGGTTATCTCAATAGTTCTTAAAATGTAATTTGATTTTTAAGGGCAGTTAGGTAGTGAAATGGATAAAGCACTGGCCCTGGAGTCAAGAGGACCCGAGTTCAAATCCAACCTCAGACATTTAGTAGCTGTGTGGCCCTGGACATGTCACTTGACCCTTACTGCCTCAAAAAAAATGTAATTCGGCTTTTAGAGAGTAGCCTGGGGACACAGAAGTTAAAAGTCTTGTCTAGTGTCCCATAGCTAATACGTGTCAGAGGCAGAACTTCAATCTAAATCTACTTGAACCAATGGTGGTCATCTTACCCACTATACCTCTACTACCTCTTGTCATGAAGAGAAAAGGTTAGTAAAAAAGATATAGTGGAAAGACACTTTGTACAGTCACTAGAAATACTACTTATTAGCTGGGTGACTCTGAATCTCAGTTTTCTTTTCTTTTTTCTTTCTTTTTTTTTTTTTTTGGTCTACTCTAGATCCATGATTTTGTTACTGTAGTAGGGAATCCCCAGTAAGGAAGCTACCTCAGCCAATGTGGATCTGCTTCTATTCTGCAATTTACGATCTTGGTGTGTTGCAATTGGCCCTGACAAGTTAACACAGTGTATAGAGTGCTGGGTCTGGAGTCAGGAAGACTAATCTTCCGGAGTTCACATCAGGCTTCAAACACTTACTGTGTGACCCTGGGCAAGTCACTTAACCCTGTTTGCCTCAGTTTCCTCATCTGTAAAATAAGTCACTTAACCCTGTTTATCTCAGTTTCCTCATCTGTAAAATAAGGAAATGGCAAACCACTCCAGTATCTTTGCCAAGAAAATCCCAAACAGGGTCAGGAAGAGTCAGATGTGACTAAAACAACAACAACAACAACAACAACAACAAAGAAGTTAAATGACTTGCCCAGGGTCATTTAGCTTGTCTTCCTAAACCAAAACTGGCTCTCTATCTTGTTGCAAGTTATAGGCATTTAAATTTCTCTGTGAATAAGAAGTTTTAAAGATTTGTGTAGCTCAGAAAAGTTATAGGCTTTCATTTCAAGGTGAAATTTCTGATATTTTTTTTAAAGTATGTGCTCATAATAAATTTCTTCCCATAAATATAATATTTAAATTGAAGTTTTGAGAGCTGATTAAAACTTTTCCCACTCCTTATATCTGTAAGGCTTTTCTCCTGTGTAGATACTCGAAAGTAGGATTTCTTAACTTGGAGTCAGTGAGCTTAAAAAATCAGTATCTATATTTCAATATAATTGTTTTTCTTTGTAATTTTATGTATCTTATACATTTAAAAATATTATTCTAAAAAGAGGTTCATAGGCTTTATCAGACTGCCATAGGGGAATAAGACACACACAAAAAAGGTAAAGAACCCCTGTTCTAAAGATTGTAACCTCAAACCAATACCCCATCTGGCCTCTCCCAATTTGCAAAATAGGGATTACATATGTACTACTTAATTCACAGGATTATTGTGAGAAAACTCTTTATAAACCTTAAAGTTTCACATAAATGTAAGTAATTTTTTCAAGCTGGGTGATTTTTTTAAAATTGCAAATGAGATATAAATAAAGGAATGACTTTTTTTTTTTGCTAGATTTTACTTGGGAGGTTTGGGACATAAGCAGTTGCTGTAGCAGAGAGAAATACAGTTAGAAAATATTGAACTTCAAATTTTCAAATAAAAAGCATGTGAAAGACCTCCTAAATGCTAATGTTTGCTTTTAATGTCCTTAGTGACAAATGTATAATTTTTAAAAATCTTTCATCAAATAACTATTTCTTTGTTCTCCTTTCTCTTTTCCTTTAAAAGTTGATCAGATTGAGTTGTGATAAAACTTCACTACCTCTTTCAAATGCAAAGATGACAAAAAAACAAAACACAACTCCTTCCTTATAACTTGCTTACAAGGGATGCTAAGTGAAATTATCTCCCAGACCTCAGAAGTTACTCTAAAAGACTCATTAGCTAAGTCTCTGAATGTTTCCTGTGGATGCCATTTCACTTTCAATTAATACCTACATTTTGTATTTGACTTTGCTGTGTACTATATTGTTCAAACTTTCTTTGAGAGCAGAAAAAGAATCCATGTTTCTTAAAAAAAAAGAATCTAAGGAAAATAAATACTGATTAGAAGTTATTAAATTTTTTTATTATTTGTATTGCAGAATCATTTTTAATGCAGGTCAAATCATGTTCTGTTGTGCACGTAGTATTGTATCAACATCTACCCCACTAGAAAATAGCTTACTTGCACCATGTGTATTTATCTTTTCTTCCAGACTCCAATGTCAAAATGAGATTCTACTGTAATTACAGTTATCATACTATAATTGAAGTTTCTACACACACACACACACACACAAACACACACACACTTATTCTAATGTTGCAAAGTAGTCCATAATATACTATTAATATGTGGTCTTTATTTTCAGTAACACTGTGATTTTTCTCCTTATACACAGTCATTGCAAAAAAAAAAAATCTCAGGTAATGAAAACAGACAGACTGCCTGCATGGTACATGGATACCTTTGGAATTCTAAGAGAGAAAAGGAGCAAGGTCTCTTGTTCATGTGGAGGATGGATGAAAGAAACATGGCCAAAAATCATCCTGGATAAGAAAGTGTAGAGGGGTTTAATCTGCATCCATGCGAGTAATACTCAGGAGTACTCACGCATAAAATCAAGGATCCCTTCAAAGTATAAGAACCAGGTGATTAAGATTACAGCTTCCAATGCATTTTCTGAAAAGGAGGAAAGGAAGAGAAGCCATTATTACATAGTACATCTTTACTATGCTGCAAAGAAACTACAGTAACTAGTGCAGAAATAAATCTTTCATGGTTGGAGATTATGAATTAGCTTGAGGAAAACTGGCTACCTATCAGTACGTTTGTACTGGTTATTTTTAAAACTACCGTTCTTTAACAGTGCAGAAGCCTGTATAGCTACAATCAATTAACTACGGACTCCTGCTAGAACTTATAGTGTGTTAGAATATTTGCTGGAAAATTAATATTGTGTCAAAATGTGAATCTTCAAGTACAGACGCTAAACATTTAAGTTGAAGACCAAATTTATACTGTTGCAAAAATGCAGATTTATGCACTGTTAAAAGAACCACGTGGAATTCCTAATCAAAGGTTGTTTAAAACAGAGCTTGAAAGATTGTTAAAAACAGCAATTTTGATACAAAATGAACTCCCAGAAAATGCAGCATTCTTACAGACTAGAAGAATGCAAATGGAAAAAATAGAATGGAAAAATCAAAATGGCTTCAAGTCTTTGACCCATATGGAGTTATGAAAAACATTTTGGTGGCAGCACAAAAGCTCTCTTGTTCAAGCACTTCCAGGGCTGCGCTTTCACTAAATATATCCTGTGAAGAGTGTTTCGTTTCTCCACCCCTTTGCTAAACCAATCACATTTTAACAAACAGTGCTGGGGTCCCTTGGGACAAGCAATGCAGAGGTAACAATGCCCTAGTTACAAGACTAAAATATTTGTTTAGAGTGAACAGCGCCTATCCAGAGCTACAGTGCTTCTTTCACACATTATTTCCAAAGGAAGAAATACAAAGAAAACAAAACTGTTAACTTTTTGAAAACGCAAAACCTTTGCATGTCTTTAAAAGTACGTAATTTTTGAAATATGTATTTAATCATCTGTAAAATAGAAACAAACGTCTAGAGCCAAATACTACCTCTTCTGATGCTTTTGATTGTGCAAACCCATTTTTTTTTTTCAGTTGCAATCAGTTCTAGGCATGGGTTCCTGTTCTGCTTGCTTCCTGATAGACTTGTTCCTTGTAGGTGTGACGGAAAGTCAACTCATTTGGTTTACTGCCACTTTAAAACCACTACCCATTTCCTAATTGGACAAATGAATCATTGTTTCCCTTTTGAAAAATTTAAGGGAGGCTGTGCTCTTGGTGTTTATAAAAGAGGCAAAATTAATTTTTTTAACTGTCTTTGGACATAATCAGGAAAAATGATCAGGAATGCAAAAGGAGAATTAACTCGTATTTGTTTACCTTACATAAGTAGTAAGCCTCGTGACTGCCTCACAGCTCTTAAAGGACAAGGAATTTATACTACAGAGATGCACATTTAAAGAAGCCTAAAATTAGGGATTTCATTCTTTAGTGTTTGAGAAGTGTCCTATAACCTTAGTTTCAAGATTCAGCCCGATCGTTAAGCTTTAGTAACAAGATGTAAAATGGTAATAGGCTTGTGAATTTTGATGTAAAATGTGTGCTAAATTACCTCTTCTTGACTCCCATCACCACCTTTCCCCCATTAAAAAAGAAACTTCCTGGGAGTTTAATAGTGCCTTTACCTACATTACACAGAATAAAAGTTAAGCAGCATTGGCCCCATTGGGAATTTATGGAATCTTGTATCTAAATAAGGGAAAGCACTTTGCTAGGAAGGCATTTTTCTTCCTTTCTATACCTATCCAGCACATGTGGCAACATAGAATAATGGAAAGAAACTGACTCTAACTCAAAAGACTTGGATCCTCAAAAGACTCTGGCATCTCATTAACTCTCCCTGGGCCTTCCTTTACTTCTCTGTACAATGAAAGGGTTGAAGCATCCCCTATGACTCTGTATGAAGAACCTATATTCTAATTGTCATTTTTTGGTCTCATCCCTTTCTCTTCCTCTTACCCTAAAGAAAATATTAAGAAGATACAAGCAAGGAGGGAGGCAGAAAAGAGAGAAAAGGAAAATAGCAGCTCACATTTATATATGTTCTTAGATTTGTAAATTACTTTCCTCACAATTGCAAGTAGTAGCTAGTCTAAGTATTATCTCTATTTTTCAATGACCTGTGAGGGTTAGAGTTGTGACTTACTTGTAATTATGTAGCTAGAAAGGTCCAGAACTAGAATAAACCCAGGTCTTCTAATTCCAAATCTAAGATCGGGGTACTAATTAAAATTAGAGCTAACCTAGAGTACAATATTCCTCTCATTCTTGAACCAGGCTTAGACTTTGGATATATTAAATTAGTAAACACTTTGGAAAGATCTTTAGATATTTGACAGTACCTTTCCCTCCACCTTATTCCATTTTCTGGTATCTGTCAAAGATAACACTATTATTCCAATTAGAGGGTAGGACTATTTTTTTTTCTAGAGAAATAGCAAATATCTTTTATTTTATAGAAATTCCATTTCTCACTTTAGAAGTAAGAAAATGACTTTGTATTTAGTTGGTTGTATAAGATCTGTAAAGCAATGTAATATATGTGACTGCCTTAAAATATAGATGGAAAGCCCTGTAATAACAAAGACTCCATGACTCTATGATCAAATTCGGAATACTTCATTTGGGAAAAATCATAGGACCCAAATAAATTATTATGATCTCTTCCGTTATGTTTTGACAATGTTCTATTCCAGTCTCTCACCATGGCACTGAGGGAACCCTAGCTTTTCAAGGTTTTTGCCAGTAAACCATAAACTCTAGCAGGATCTAGGGAAGGGAAGGGAACAAGCATTTATTAAGTGCCTGCTCTGTGCCAAACACTGTGCTAAGAGCTTTATAAATATTATCTCATTAGGTCCTCAGATTTATGATCCCCATTTTACAGTTGGGGAAACTATGGCAGACAGAGGTTGTGACTTGCCCAGGATCACACAGCTAATAAGTGACTGAGGCTCTACCATGTTGAAAGATTTTCAGTATGGTCTCAGGAACGAACTAAATTTGCTTTCTGAGGGCCAGCCTAACTAAATTCATAGAAACTCATAACCAATAGTCTGGGCACTTGTTGATAGATTATTTGTCCATGGCAATCCATGAAAAAAGAAAACTGTAAATCGACCTTTCAATCTATGTGTCATTCTGTTGCTTCTGCAGTGATAGAAAAAGGTGCAGAGGGTGCTATGAGTCACACAGTTTTTAGACTGTCTAAAAACAAAAACTTAGGTGTTGGTGTTCTAAATATGAGATTTTTGTTTAGTGACCATCTCTTACTAGAGATCATTGGTAGTCTTGGAGAGAGCAGTTACTGGACATAAGTTCAGTGGCAAGAAGCTGAGCAGTGAAAGAGGGATGAGAAAGTGGAGGCAACAAATGTAGATGGCTTTATTTGGGAGTTTGCAAAAGGAAGGAAATATCTAAGATGGTAGCTTGAAAGGATGAAAGGGTCAAGTGAAAGTTTGTTGTTGTTTGTTTTAAATGGATGGGAGAGACTTGGTTATATTTATAGGCTTCAGGAAAGCAACCTATAGATAAAGCGACATAAAAAGAATTAACAAGAGGCAATGATCTATGAGACAAATTCCTAAACAACATAGTAGGGGATAGGATCAAGAATACAAATAGAGGGGTTGGTCTTGGAAAAGATAATAATAATCTCTTCCTTAAAGACTATAGTATAGGAGGAAATAATGGAGGAGTTTGAAGTATGGAGTTATGGAGAAGATGTTATGTATGACAGATGCCTTTATTTTCTCAGTAAAGTATGAGGCAAGGTCCTCTGCTGAGAGCAGTGTGGGACAAGGATAGGCAAGGCAGCTTAAGGAGAAAAGAGAACTTTGTCTTAGCTACTGTGTGAAGTTGTACAGAGAGTCAAAAAAGAAGTGTAAAAGTTTTTGCATCACAGCAGTGAGGATCCAGTATAGATTAGATACTGTAAATGTGTAGTGGACAATTGTGTGACTTCTTCCAGAGGTATCTCGAAATACATTAAGAGGAGCAGAGAAAGTAGATAGTGGGTATAACCCAGGGTTAGGGTTTAATAAAGCATAAATAGAAGTAGAACCAATGGTTAAGAGATTCAAGGATGATAGTGTAATGTTGAACCAGTTAACAATATGGTCAAGACTGAGGAAAGTGAGGCCGAAGCAGAGGAAATGAATCTGGAAAACAGGGAGGAGTAAAGTGACTAGAAATCATAATGAAAATGAAGAGTAGACATCTTAAGCCAAACTTGTTCAAAACAGAAACCCATTATCTTTCCCCCTAAACCCTCCCCTTCTACTACCTTCCCTATTACAAGAGGATAACACCATTCCCTCAGTCCCTCAGGCTCACAACTTAGGAATCATCTTGGATTCTTCAATATCTCTTAAACACCTTCCCTCCCCCTACCCCCTATCCAAATTGTTATCAAGGCCTGTCAATGTCACCTTTGCAACATCTCTCAAATATGCCCCCTTCTCTTCTCTGACACTGCCACCACTCTAGTGAAGGCCCTCATCAACTCAAGCTCTGCAATAGCCTACTGCTATGTGTGCCTGCCTCAAGTCTCTCCCTACTCCAGTTCATTCTCCATTCAGCCACAAAAGTGATTTTCTTAAAGTAAAGGTCAGATCATGTCACTTCTCTGCTCAATAAACTCTGGTGGCTCCCTGTTGCTTCCAGGATCAAATACAAAATGCTCTGCCTGGTATTCAAAACTTTTACACCTTCCTGGTACTTACTTACTCTTTGATCCAGTGACAATGGCATTCTGTCTGGTTCATGAACAAGACACACTCTGTCTCTGCTCCAGGCATTTTCCCCATCTGTCCTCCATGCTCAGAATGCTCTGCCTCCCGAACACCCCTGATTACTTCCCTGGTTTCCTTTATATCCCAATTAAAATCCCATCTTTTACAGGAAGTCTTTCCCAACCCCCACTTAATTCCAGTGCCTTTTCTCTCTTAATTATTTCCTATTTATCCACAGCTTGCTTTGTATGTTTCTTTGCATGTTTTCTCCCTCATTAGAGTGTAAGCTCCTTGAGAGGAGGGACTTAGTATGGTGCCTGACCCATAGTAGGCCCTTAGTAAATGTTTACTGGTTGATCGAGAATAGGATTAAGAGGAGTCAGGCAGAAAAGGTTATGATTTGAGAGAAGAACCATTGGAACCATGGAGGTAGAATAGTTATTGGAGGGGTGTGCTGGTAAAAGTTTAACAACTGACTCTCTGAAAAAAATTTATGTGCTGCACACTTTTAAGTCTAATCTGCATGACTAACATTTTCTCCATCACCTTACTAGGTCTACAAAGCAACAAAGCAATAAACCAAGTTATAATCTGAGCATTTGTCATTTCCGAGGTGTAAATGCTTACACTGAACATTTAATAATCAACTCTCCTGAGCCAGTATGAATTGACTCCAGCACCCCACAGGTTATGAGTGATCAAACAGTTGAGGGAAAGTATAGATCCTGGACTTCAATATGTATTCTGAAGCCTCCAAATTCAGGGAATGGAATGGAGAGGAAGACTGAACCAGATTCAGCAACAATCTGGGATAGGGTGATTTGGATAATGGAGTGAACCCCAGAGAAAGAGAGGTTGATGGGTAATATCAACAGAAAGAGGGTCTGGAAGTGACAAAGAGGAGCAAGGAGTAAGCTTAACTCCTCTTCTTGGTCCGCGGATATCTGGGTAAATGAGCAAAGATGCATCCAGGATAATAAAGGAAAGCATGATCTTGAAGGGCAGGGGACAAAGTGAAGAGGGAGAGGTTTTCAGGAATGCATAAGACTAGAGGGTCAGATCCAATACAAAGGGGAATTTGTTAACAGTATAATGGGTTTCCGTAGGAAACAAAGGAGGGCTAGAGCCCACAAGGGAGTTAGGTCAATAGAGATTCTGGAGTGGAGAACCGTGGTAGAAGGGGATTTTAGACCATCGCCTTCAACTGTGAATTGCAGTGTCCTGGGAGAAGGAGAGTTTGCTAACTTTAGGACTGTCTCACCTTTTCCATGTAAATAGCGGTGGCTCTAACCTAGGTCCTGGCTAGGCTGCTTCAAAAAATAGGCCTGTAACCTTAGGTAAATGAGTTGAGACCTCC